CTCCCAGGCCCAGCCACCACCAGGGCACACAGACGCTCAGACGCAGCTCAGCCCTGAGAGCCAGGCTCGGTCATTGTTAGGGGCAGAAAACCGAGTTAATGAACATCCAGCATCACAGGAGTCCCCTAATCTGGACCGTCATGGGCCTCCTGTTCTTTCCCACCAAGATGAGGCTGACGTCAGCCTCCCGAGACATCCCAACATAAAGGCAGCAGCCACTTCCAGCACCACCAGGCTGACCCACAGGGACGGAGACCCCAAGCCTTTGCCGGGGGAGAGTGCAGTTAGGGGGGGTGACAGCTGGTTACTCACACTGCAAAGGCTCCCCATTCACCATCCACTGGACGGTGGGCTTGGGGTTCCCATTGGCTCTACACACCAGTCTCCCATCTTCGCCAGGAGCCAGGATGAGATTCTTGGGTTCGTCCAGCCAGTAGGGAGCAGCTGGAAGACAAGGACAGTGCGGGCAGGGGTGTTAGATGGCAGGGGGGTACCAGGAAAGCAGATGGGCTCCCGCAAGGGCAGCAGGACCCTGAGAGCCAGCCCGGGCCTCGCCGCCTGTCCAGGCCTCGCCCCCCAGACCTCCTGCCTTCGGCTGGCTTAGCAGGCACCACAGAGGCTGACCCGTCCATTTCAGATCCCAGAACAGTGTTCTAACCCAAGGGCGCGAGGCCCAGGGCCGGCCCCTGGGTTTCTTCTGTTGTTGGGAGATGAGACTGTACTCACTCTTCTGGGCACTGCACTGCGGTTAGAGCAGTTGCTTTTAACTGGCCTCCTTTTGCATGCTCTGGAAAGTTCTGTGAATGTGTAGACGTGAAGGGGATCCTCTAAATCCTATTCTCAAATATCTTAATCCTCTAAAAGAAGCCAAGAATGGGGCCTACCCTGGTGGTGCAATGAGTTAGGACACAGCATTGCAAGCTGGCCACAGCCACCTCAATGTGAGTTCCATCCCCCGCCTTGGAGGTGACCCATATGGTCCGGCAGACCTCTCCTGACCCGCCCACTGCTCCCCTCAGCAGTGTGCTTCATCCATCTGCCTGTTCTGCTCCCCGCTCTGTCTCTGGTGAATCCTTTCACTGCCCCTGCACCTCTGGCCTGTACCCTAGTTCTGTATGCATAAATAAATAAATAAACCTAAAAAAAAAAAAAAAGAGGCCAAGAACCTCCCGTTTGAGTGTGGGGCTGAAACCTGGCCCACTGAGAGTGTGTGCAGGACTCCATCACCCCAGGCCGGGCATAGCAGGGGACCCACAAAGGCCGTGCTCCACTGCGTGCCTCGGGTCAGCAACACTCTGGGGAGGGAGCCATGATGACCCCACCATTTGAAAAGCAGCACAGCGCCAAGCAGAGGACTCGACGACACGCCACAAACAGGACCGCGGAACGGGAGGGAAGCGTGTGGTCCGGTGGGCCAGAGAGGCGCGTCGCCACTGAAGAGCCCCTGGGCGATTGAGAGGGTGGCCCTCCTTCCCCTGACCCCCACCACACACACACCCCACCACACACACCATACAGGCACCCCTCCCCACAGACACACCACACACACATACCCGCCCACACACCACACACACATACCACAAACACCACACACCCCTCAAACCAGATACCAAACATACAACCTCCCCAAACCAGATACCAAACATACAACCTACCACACATATACACCACACCCCATCACACACACGCCACATACACCCCACCCATATGCCATACCACACATATACAGCACACAAACACACAAGATCATACACATACCACAAATACCACACATATACACCACACAAACACACTACACACCCACCACACACATACACAGATTATACACACCAGACAGCACACACACCACACATGCACAAGATCTCACACACACATACACCACAGACACCAGAAATACTATCACAACCCCCACAACCCCCACACACTACACACACCACACACACCATATACACACACCACACACACCACCCATATACCATACCACACAATACATCATACACACACACACACACACACAAATACCGCACAAATACACCACACAAACACACTACACACCCACTACACACCCACATGACTATACACACCAGAATACACACACACAAGATCACACACACACACACAAGATCACACATACACACACACCAGATACCAGAAATACATCCCACCAGAAACCCCCCTTAGACCCCCCCCACACACATACCCCCCAAACACCATACCCCCACCACACATATGCACCACACCACACACACACCATACCCCCACCACACATATCACACATAAACACCGTCCACACACACTGCTCAGACATGCCACACTCTACCACACCCTCACCTCACATACCGCACATACACAGAGCAATACCACACATATGCACCACACCACACACACACCATATTCCCACCACACACACCACACATACACCTGCCCCACACCCCCCCAGTATGCCCTCAGCAGACACACCCCTCCCCTCCCCCACTAACGTCCACCACGGTGACACGTCCCCGGTAGGCCACTATGGCCACTAACCAGCATGTCAGCTGTTTCCCCTCCTCACGCTGCCCTAACCGGCCCCTGGGGGGAGGTGGCACAGGGTGCAGGGCGGCAAAATCATCATAATGAGAAATACACACCACGTACCCTTTACTCTCACCGAGATCGTGTGCCGGATGCTGCCCATCCTGTTGGAGGCCAGGCAGAAGTACTCCCCGGAGTCTTCCTCGGAGACGTTGGTGATCCGCAGAGCCTTGTTAAAGTTCTCGAACTTGGCCTTGTCAGATGGGAGGTCCCCGCCTTTCTTGTACCACGCGATGTCCGGTGTGGGGCTGGAGAGGGACAGGCCTGGTCACTCACGGGCCCTGCTGCTCCTTGGGGTGCTGGGTCCCCGGGCCCTGGACCATGCGCGTGACCCCAGGGGTGCCTGTCCTGTCACACCTCAGCTCTCCCACGGGGAGGGGGTTCGGCTGCAGAGTGTTCTGGGGCGTCTGCAGGGTCACCCTGGATCCTAGCCTGTCCAGACCCTACCGATCTCCCCACCACCGAAAAATGATAACAGGATGAAGCAGAGATGACTGATTAGCAAAGCCCTTATCAGGGACCGCATGTGTCTCTTTTTGCACCCGTGCCCCCGCCCCCTGTGGCAAGAATAGGAACAGAGCACCCCGGAGGGTGGCACAACCCTGCCCCGCCCCCTGAGGGTGGCCAGAAGTAGGGGTGTGAAGGGTACGTACACCCCAGAGGCGATGCACTCCAGCAGGAGGTCCATGCCACGCAGCACCATCTGGCTGCTTGCGGTGCCCTGGGGATACATGAAGCTGGGTGTTCTCTCGGCAACTCCTCGGGCTGAAAGAGGGCAGAACAAACTCCCGTCAACCCCTTGCTCGGGGCTGACCCAGCCAGGCCGGAGCTGTCAGAGAGAGAAACGGCCGCACACCCCGGCTTACCTCAGACGCGTGAACCGGACCCTCCCAGCCAAACCCCGCCCCAGGGCCGGGCATCAGTGAGAGAGGGGTGTTAGGAAGCACGGAGCCCCTGGGCCCCCCAGCACGTGTGTGAGCAGCTCTACGTTCTAAAAGGGATCCATCGAGAGGGGCCCACCTTCCCTGGCACTTCCACGGACCCCTCCTTCCTGGGAACAGGGGAGAAGGTGCCTGAGTGTAGTGCTGGGACCCGGAGGCCAATATGGTAGCGCCCCCCCCCCCCGGGAGGTCATCTCACTGCAGAGCTTGTCCCCGAGACAGGGATGTGCAAGAAAGAGAAGGCAGATATTTGGGCTGCAGGACAGGCCGCCTGCTATTGGGGACCCTGGAGATAGGAGCTGGGATGAAGCCACAAAGACCCAGATGGACAGTCGGACGTGCAGGGAGTGTTATTAATGGCTTAGCGAAGACGTGGAGAGAATTAATGAGCAGAGATGACAGGAAATCACTGTGGGGCTGAGACCATTCTGCTGCTTCACTAATGGCTCTGGAAGGGGCTGGGGGGAGGGTGTTAACTGGATGTGAGAGATGGGGAGGGGGAGAGGAAGGTGGAGCCGAGATGGAGGAGGTGATGTGCCATTCAGGGGTTTGAGCCCAGAGGCACCATGGAGGAGGTGATGTGCCATTCAGGGGTTTGAGCCCAGAGGCACCGGGGCTCAGGGGAGTGATATACTATGAGGGCGACTGCCTCCCTGTGGACGGGGCTGTGCGAGCTGGGGAGCCCCCCCCTTCGGCTGGAGCCTCGTGCTCAGCGCTCTCTACACAGCTCTATGGATATAACACGGAGGGGAGAAGAGCAGGGACTTTGCAACCTGGAGCCCCAAAGTGGCAGGGCAGGTAGGGGGAGGCATCTCCTGCTGGAAGCTGTATGATTATAAACAAGAAGAGTTTCGAGTCTCTATCTAAGCTGAGCCGCCTGTGGATTTAGTGCGTCTCTACCTCAGCGGCAGAGAAGAGCTGCGGGAAGAAGGCAGCACTTCCCTAGCCGGGAGCCTCAAAGAGGGCTCATCTGCAGGGCATGGCTGGGGCACCGGGAAGGTGTGCCAGCAGCCTGAGGGCAGAGCGGCAGGGCCCTCTGTCTCGGGGCACTGGGGACTCCTGAGCCTGTCGGAGTAGCTGGCGTCTGGCTGAAGTGGCTTCTGTCCCCTTCTCTCCATCAGCCCCCTGGGGGCACATTTCACGGAGCTGGCATCTATTTTCTGCTTTGGTCAAAGGAAGAAGGGATGAAATAGAGGCAGACATGGTCACGCTGCAGGCACAGTACATGGCACATAGCGAATGTCCAGAAATGTGTGTGGGGTGAACGACTTAAAGGGGACAGAAGACAGGACAGTAATGACCCCACAAGCTGTTTCTCTTTCTGGAGATGTCCTCACCGGTCCACAGCACACATATACGACAGAGGCTACCGAAAGGGTTAATCCATTATGTGGTTAATTGGTTACCGCCAGTTTCTACGACTCTCGCAACATCTGCTCCTGACACCAAAGCAGTAGCCTCCTCCCGCCCATCGTCACAGAATCGTCAAAACGGCACAAGGTCAAGTCGCCGTGAGAAGATGGTGCAGGCCAGACGGCCCTGTGTCAGGTTGGTGGGGCTGTTGAGAGTGGGGGGGTACGGGGGAGAAGTTCCATTTTGGCCTGCATACGTCCGCCACGCGGGGATGGAATCGGCAGAAGCCAGCCTGACCCGTGGACATTTGATCCTCACTGTCGCACGCACGCACACTTGGGACTCGCGAAGCTGGGAAACAGGTGCAGTGAGCGGAGCCCTGCGGGCCCCATGGGCACAGCTGTCCTGGCAGAGACCAGAGCAGCCCTGCGAGCCTGCAACCCCCAGGGGCAGCGAGCCAAAGGTCAAAAATATAGGGGAGACCCCGAAAAGTCGGAGGGGATGACCAGGGTGGCAGTAGCAGCCCCACCTGCAGCCTCTTCCCCACGATCCTGGGAGCCGCACTCCCGTTCCCTGCGGAGAAAACTGGCGCCGAGAAGTCACAGATTGTCCGAGGTCACATGCCAGCTTCATTTGGAGCCACTTGGCACCAAGCTCGCGCTGCTCTCTGATGGTTTTGCACCTTGATGCTGCTTTTTGGCAAAGAAGGCTCCCCTGTCCCACCTCCTGGCAGTCGACCTTGGGGTCGGGTGGACTCTCCCATCACCCTCTTGAATCTCGGATTAGAAAACTTGCAGATGAGTCAGGGACAGGGCACCATATAGCTGAGAGGACGGGACCCCAAAGTGAGGTTATGAGGGACTTATGGGGAAACTGAGGAAAGGTGATCCGACCGGGAGCCGCTGCTCCCAAGGGAGGGTGGCTGATTACTTTCCCTGGAGAAGGGAGCGTCTCTGAGACAGAGGTCAGTGTTAGATGAAACTCTAGGGGACACCAGAAGGGGACGAGGCAGAGTCTCCCTGGGTGTCCCAGGACACCCACTCTTCCACCACAGACTCAGGGATCCCTGGAGGGCATGTCCAGTCTGATGACCTTCTGCTACCCTCCCTGGTCTTCAGGCTGGGTTCAGACCTAACATCCTGTCAAGCTCGAAACCCATGTCTAGGAGGGGTCAGGCAGCAGTTCCCTGCCAGGGGCAGCCGCCCTCTCCTGCAGCCTTAGCTGTGGCTCAAGCGCGGGTTTCAGTGGGATCTGGTTGGCAGGGGGACCAGCATATGGCCCTTGCTCGGCCTCCTTGGCTTTCAAGGGCCAGTGAAAAACACTTCTCCATCACCCTCTGCTGGAAGAAAGGTCAAGGCCGCTGAGAACCGGGCGGCCCCTCGGTCAAGAGCTGCATGTTGACAGGTTGAGTTGAGTCCATGGAGTCCGCTGCGTCACAGGACTTTTGCCAGAACCAGCTTTTCATGGCAGCTGGAGTGCGCTGCTTCCAGTTCTCAGAACTGAGAACTCACGGGCTGGATAGGCATCTCAGTCAGTTCTCTGGCTCTGGGAACGGCTGACAGACACTCCGGAAGGTGAGAAAAACTTGTCTAGTAACATCTGATACCTTCCGCGGCCAGGAAGTCTCATCCGGAAGCCTGGCCCGAATTGTGCTGTGTCCGAGCCTCTCCTCAGTCAATCCTCTGAACACCAAGGAGCCGGGCAGCTCTTACTTCCTTCTCCAGTCGCCCCAACACCGTGGCCTCCGTGGGATGGCTTCCTATCGCACGCCGACCTCCCTGCCCTTGGCTTCTCAAGCTTCCCGTGTCTCTTTCAATGTCAGAAGCGCAGATTTCATGCAGGCGACAATGAGCTGTTTCTCCCCACACTACCAGCGAGCCCCGCCACCCCCGGTCCCCCAGCACGGGCCAGGAGCCTCACGCTCTCTCCTATTTGAGCTTCTCGACAGTCCCACAGGGAGGGACATGCCCATTCTGCAGGTGAGGAAGTTACAGCCATTTTGCAGGTGAGGAAGCTACAGTTCCAGGCAGCCCAGCGAGGGTGCTTGTCTCCTTGCCTGGGGACTCGGGGTGGTGAGTGACCCCCTCAGACCACCTTCCTGCCACTCGGCAGGTCTGGGCGTCTGGCATACGTTCAGATTGCCACCCACGGTAGCAATCACCAGAAGCAAATTCTAGAAGAGAAACAGCACATTCCAAAGCCATACAGCTGCCCTGGCGTTTCTCATCACAGTCTGCCAGCTGCCCGCACTCGAGAAGAACCTGATCTTCCCTTCTTTCTTTCCATTTTCTGTATCTTTCTGGAAGCGGTTGCCCTAGCTGTCCCTCACTTTGATGTCAAATTTTTCCTGGCCAGCTTCATTCTTGGTCAGTGCAGTTCTACCTCAGACTGAAGAGAATAGGTGGGCCTCCAGGGAGCCCTCCTGAGCCTGGTTCCAGACCCCTGGGCGGATCTGGTAACTCCCACTCACTCGTTTGTAAAATCGGCCACTACTCACTAACTAGGTCAGTGGCTGGTATCAATCAAACGCATCCTGTTGGTAAAACCTCCCAGGCCCCTGGCCCTCCCTGGTGGCGCAGCGGGTTAAAGCACAGCACTGAGAATCTAAAGCCGCTTCCGCATGAGTTCGATTCCCGCCTGCCCCGGAGGTGACCACATGGCGCGGCAGACCTCTCCTGACCCGCCCGCTGCTCCCCTCAGCAGTGTACTGCGTCGATCTGCCTGTTCTGTTCCCTGCTCTGTCTCTGGTGAAGCCTCTCGCCGCCCCTGAGCCTCTGGCCTGTACCCCAGTTCTGTACGCACAAATAAATAAATCTTTAAAAAAAAAACCTCCCAGGCCCCAAGCTCCCCAGTGGTTGAGCTTATGGGCAGCGCAGCGCATGGACCACACAGTCTCCAAGGGACCTGCTGGCCTGATACACACCAGCTTTAAAAATGCTTCCGAAAGAGATCACCCGGAATCCAATTTCACAAAGGGCACACCCCACACCAGTGCTCTGGGGTCACCCCAACATGGTGGCTCACCCCATTATTTGAAAACAAATGATCCCGGTTCCTGGGGTGGTGATGCTCAGCGCTGTGTGGTGCCCAGTTACAGCCTCCACCCCGCTCCCAGCGCGACCATCCCCCACTCCAATGCAGCCATCGTTTATATTAGCACATCACGATGCAGATGCTTCCTATCTATTTGAGCCTGCAATGACCCCCCTGGGACCCGCAACCTCAGCTTCCAAGGCATAACTGATGAAAGGGGCCAGCTGCTTTGTCAGAGTCAGAAAATGAGGATTCCTCTGGCGAGGAAAAAGCGAGACATTCTTGAGCAGGCATGGGGAGAAACTCAGGTGTGGAAACAGCCAATTACTCCATTAATCAGACTGCACGCACAGCTGTGTGATAAATTAAAATGGGCCTCACAGAGATTGCCCAATAACCTGCGAATGTGTGGGCTGGCAGCCACTGGACTTGGGGTGTGCACCCCAAGAGAGGAGAAGGGGCCGAGGCGAGTGGATACAGGATGGTCCCACATCACATGTATTTACCTGAGAATAAAACTCAGAGTGTGGAGCCTGTCAAATGAACCCCCGAAGCTGAGGCGTTATTGCAATGCAGTTCACCTCCGGCCAGTGAAGAGTTAATGAAACACACACAAAGAGCTCGCTGTGCTTTTTCAGCCAGTAACTGCAACAAGACTCCTGTCTCCTCACCATGGCAGCGCACCTCATCTCGGATGGTCTCCATCCGCCCACCACTGATTCTGAAGTGTCTGACTAAACCCTCCAAGAAGCTCTTTCCAAGCCCAGGTTTGAACACTTGTCCACAGTTCAGCACCGGAGGCCTGCACATCAGAGGTTCAGGCCTGCGCTCCCCCACGGGTCGCCTTCCTCCGGCCGGCCCTTTCTGGGGGTGTGTGCGGACCTGGCCTGGCCATGGGCCACTCAGCACGAGTTAATGACATGCTATCAGTCAAGTTAGGCAAACTGGGGTTAGGGCAGGTTACTCCCAAGGTCACCACAGCGACTCACCACTGTACATGTCAGGGTGGTTTCGTAAGGACGAGTCATTATGGGGGTAGTCTGCAATAAACAAAAGAGGGTGAGCAAACAGGAGGCCACGGAGCAGTCACGGAGCATCAACGGGGAGAGAACAAACAGAAATGCAAAGCCACAAAACAACCGAGGGATCTTGCAAAGGAAAAGTCGTGGCGTATTTGGAAAGGAAATCTGAAGAACAAGCGACACAAAACGGCCCCCAAATGGGAAGAAAAGGTTAAATCCTGCAAAAGAAAGCAATGATAAAATAAGTTTCTTTGTAATTAAAGAAATTAAACCTGACCTTTAATGGCTTGGTCCTATTATGCTTTCAAACAAATGAGATAAGGATTAGTGGTTTCCTGTAGCAGACTTTTGAACCATCCTTTCTACCCAAATCCGCAGTTCCCAGGGCTCTGGGTCAGGCCAGCTCCCGAGACGGCTAAGGGAAAGGAAAGTCAAGTTCGACCTGAGCAGAAGCTAAGAAAGTAAAGGAAGAGGAAAAGACAGTCCAAGAGAGACAGCTCATCCTGAGACAGCAGGACAGGGGGACCTTGGGCAGGGCCCTGCAAGCTTGTGCTAACAGGTAACAAACACCCCTAATCTGACCAGATAGGAATCACCTTGGTCTCTGAGATATGGCCTGTAGATGATGCTGTAGGCAGAAACAGGGCCAGGGGGATGGGAGAGCTAGGCTGAGGTCCAGACTGCAGGACTGGAGAGGAAGTTTGGGCAGGAGAGAGTGAGCCATGAGCTCTCTGCTCTGGGGTGGTCAAGCTGGACAGTCACTGCGCTCCAGACTGGTCTGAGGTGAAGACATTCCTTAAAAAGTGGTGCAGATGCTAAGACTCAGTGCTGTTAAGCTATCCTCAGTCACTGCAGCACGAGTTCGCTCCCCGGCCAGGGAGCTGACCCACATGGCGCAGCAGACCTCTCCTGTCCTGCCCGCTGCTCCCCTCAGCAGTGTTTTTTCAGTCAATCTGCCTGTTCTGCTCCCCACTCTGTCTCTGTGAATCCTCTCACCACCCCCGTTTCTATCCTACACCCCAACTCTTGTATGCATAAATAAATCAATCTTAAACAAAAACAATACGTATGTTGGTTTTCCAACGCTAGGTGGTTAAAATACTTGGGGATTTAATTCCCACAAGAAAGACATTTTGGAACAGGGCACATGATCATGCCAATGCCCTCAAGTAGCTTTTCACTCCTCCGCCATTGTTCCCGTTCAGACACTGGGCTGAAGTTTTGACAGAACCAGCAGGGTGAGGCTGACTCCAAAGCAGGCTGTGAGCCAAGCAGACAGCCCCAGAACCGGGAACACAGCCCAAGTGCCTGAGAGGGGGGCTTGCCAGGACATTTGAATATCTGAAGGCAGAGCAAGTTCTCTGACTTCAAGGGGCTGCCAGCTCTTTCCCGGGACTGGCATCGCATGGTGCTTCAAACCTGCCTCACACACAGGAGGGAGAGTGAGGGAGATGTCCACTGTCCAGAATTTCCCCTTAAGATGGGGTGAACTCTAAGAGACCTCGCTGAGCTTGGGAAGTTGAGTTATCTAGAGCTTGAGGTGGGAACGGATCTACCAGGGAAAGAGGAAGCGGTGGGTGGCAGAGGGTGTGAACAGGCTTGGAGATGCCACTCCCCCGTGCGGCCGGGGCACACAGAGGTGAGACAGAACCTCTCTCTTTGCAGAGAAACTACACCCCAGAGTTTGTGGGTTCCGGAGCACATCTGAGAACTCAGGGTCCTCTCTGACACCTTTGGGTACGCCACTCAGCTAGCCGGCATTAGAAGGAAGCAGGTTAGTGCTCCTCGGCTGTGCCAGGGAGTCCCCCTCGTCACAGGAGGGCAGCTGGGCAGCATGGGGCAGGCATGCCAGTGAGGGCCTGGCTTGCCGGTTACCTCTGTCCCAATATGAATATAAAAAATGGTTTTACATTGTTCAGTGCTTTGGTACCTTTTCCCCCTTGTTTTTGTCACAGGTAACACAAAATGGTTGCGATGAAATTTATTTCTTCCTTGATGGGCAAACTGAGACGGGAGCCCCGGTGAGAGGGTTTGAAGCTGTCCCAGCTGGCTGGTGACTCCCCCGCCACCCCCCAGACCTGGTTCTGAAGGTACAAAAAAAGGCCTGTGTCCTCTCCGGGCGGGAAAGACAGAGAACACAACGGCGCTATTTTAAGCAGCTGTGCCCAATTCCAGGCTGACGGGCCGCCAAAGCTGCACCTGGCGGGGGGTGGGGGGGCGCGCCAGGAAGCGGACCGGACACCATCCCATCACCGCGCAGGGTCCTCATCATGTTCTGGGGAAGAGTTTGCAGTGCAGCAGGGGACCGGAAATGAGGCAGGGCAAACTCTCCTTACCTCCTCTGGTGGAGAAAAGGATGTTTGTGGCAAGTGCAACCTCTAGATGTTGTTGAATCTCTAACTGCTTAATTCCACAGAGATGGCTCTTCGCCACCCCACTGCCCTGCCATGACCCTATGACATGGCAGGGCTGCCGACTGGCACCCAGGAGGGGCCTACTGGCTCAAGTGCTGAAGGAAGGGACGCTGAGGCTGTCCAGCTGTCCAGGGGGCGGTGCCGTGGGACCCTGCTCTTGGCATGTCCCCCGCCCTCACGCTCCGTGGCCCCAGCCCTGTCCTGGTTCCGGAGGTCACTCTTGGTCCTGGGCAGACCACACTGTCCTTCTCAGCTCAGCCAGCTGGCAGGCAGCCGGTCCTGATGTACACTGAGGATACACTTCAGACAGCCCAACTTCCTCCTCTAGGGGTCCCCCACCGGGGTAGGGGTCTGGAATAGAACAGCCAGCCTCAGGCTGGGTAGCCTGGCCAGGAACACTTGGAGCTTGTCCTTGGGTGTCTGGACTTCCTGTTGGCTATCAACTTATAAGCAGCTCCATGCCAACTCAGAACAGTGAGTGGGGAGCTGTAGAGGCAGGAGGTAAAATTGGGAAAGGGGGTTCAAAAAGAGGGGAACAGAGCAGAGCAGAAGGAGGGAGAATAGACAAAAAGAAGCAAAACAGGAAAGAGGAGAAAAGGAAGGGAAAGGAAGCAAACACGTAACAGGAGAACAGGTAGGAGGCTGTTTCTGATGGCCTCAGCCCTTTGGGGAGGAAGAGGGGGGTGGCCCCTCATCCTGCTTCTACCTGCAGCAGGGGCTGGTGGGAAGGGGTCGGGCCTCACGGTCCTGAGTGAAGAGTGAATTCAGCCAGGCCCCTCCCCGGCCCTCGCCCGCCGGAAGGCTGGCATCAGCCACCTGCGTCATGCTCACTCTCTGACTCGGGCAAGTGGCCAGGTCCCATGGCCCCAGGGGTGGGTCCTCCCCCTACATCACCCTGTCTGCAGTGTTGAACACAACACTCCTGGCTGAGGCAGACTGCGGTCTGGGCTCTCCTCTGGGGTGCATGTCCCAGATACGTGGTGGGAGCCACGGAGCCTCTCAGGGTCACCGCAGGCCAAGGACCGCAGCCCTAGCTCTAGCCAGCTGCCAGGCTACAGCCAGGTCTCTGCACTGACTGGCTTTCTCCCCCTCCAAGGAGGTTCCCCAAGGCTACGCTGGGTCAGGAAACAACTCACTTTGGGCAGCAGTCAAAAATAATTGGAATAACAACAAAAACAAACGAATACGTAAGTCTGTAACTTGCAGACACAGCAATCCTATATGGTTCAGCATATACAATTCACTTTGGTGTGTTCACTAATTTGGATATAGTGTGCTGTCCTTGTTCTAGAAATAAAGATAACCAAAGAAGGACTGGAAATAAAGACATAATCAAGCAGGTTGCCCGAAAGGGCCACCTCAATTCTGCTGTGTGATCCAGCCCGCGGGAGCTGAGGAAAAATGAGAGCCTGGGGCCACCCGGACAGGGCAGGGCTGGGCCTGGGGGTGGCGCCGAGATTGCCAGCAGATGCAGACTCCCAGCAAAGTCTGGGGGCCACTGATTAGCGAGGGCTTCTCAACCAGTGAAGCGAAGCTGCACTCAGGCTTCAGAACCAGGAGGCGTGATGAGGGCAGAGGGTGCAGCCCCGATAGGGTGAGCTGCGAGAACTCCCAGGTCAGCCTCGGGACAAGTGTCCCCCACACCGGGTACCTGTGGCTGCGGGCTCGGAGGGCTCTGCCCCGGCCCGCACCCCAGGAAGGGACCTGCACTTACTGGTGAGGACCTTGAGGGTGAAGGGGTTCTTCTGCTGGATGGTGTGGGTGAAGTGGAAGCGGGCGTTGCAGCTGTAGTCGGTCTGCATGTCCTGCAGCATGACGTTGGAGAAATACAGGTCTCCGTTATGGCCTTGGGAGACTCGCTTGTCTTGGGTGATGGGCTCCATGGCTGGAAGGAAGCAGAGGGGCAGGGGAGGTTGGTATAACGCTCAGCATGCACTCGCCTGGTGGCGCTGGCTACTGAGCACCCGCTGGGTCTAGGCGGGGGCTGAGGCAGGGGCCTGCTTCTTTTTAGAATGAGGAAGCTGAGGTTGCACGAGCAGCCAGGGGAGAGTAGGGTGCAGCCTGCCCGGCCAGCCTGCCTGCCCAGCACGTCCACCTCTAAGACCACACTTTTGAATGTCTTTGTTCAAGGCCAGAGGGGAGGAACACAGCTCTTCTGATGCCCCTCAGACCGGAAGCCAAACTCTCCTGCGAGAGGAGCAAGTCTCCAAGGACAGGAATCTGACCGTTTCATCATGACACCCCAGCACCAGGGCCATGGCACACAGTCGGCCCAGGGCACTGAATGAACCTGAAATTGGCCTTGCAGCCTTTCACCAAAAATTTAATAAAAAATTACAAGATGTAAAAAGATGTGGTACATATACATACACAATGGAATATTACTCAGCAACCAAAAAAGAGAAACACATGCCTTTTGCAGCAACATGGATGGAGCTGGAAGGGATCATGCTTGGTGAAATAAGCCAGAAAGAAAAGGAAAATACCAGATGGTTTCACTCATAGCAGGAGTATAAAGGACCAGGGGGAAAATAATAATAATGAACAACTATATACCAGAGACATTTATGGGGGTGGAGTGGGGAATGGGATAAAAAATGGGGGGGGGGGAAGTACACTGGACTGTGGTGATGGCACACAGGTGACTTGGTGCCATCACAACTGAGATGGAAAGAGGCACAACATGATGTAAAAGTAAACTATTATATTATTTAAAAAAATTACAAGATGCAGCTCTTTTATTTTCAGCCTCCCCTGAAAAGAAAAAAGCACCCCCGGTTATAACTATAAGCTGCACCCCAATCAATGAAGCACACCATCAATTTGGGGACACCTTCCAATATTAGAGCTATTAAAATAGCAGCACCTGTGCTCTGTAGAAGTAATGACGTCAAGGAGTGGCTGAGACATTGACTGCAATAGCTGTCTTTTTTCCAGTACTGTATCTTATGTAAACTCAAAGACCCGGGTGTTTCTAGGTTGTTAGGTTTGTAAAAATATACTTACAAGGATGATGATAGCTATCTCTCCTTATTGCTTAAAAATAATTGCACTTAAGTCACCGTTTCTTGATGCATGAGGACACGTGGGGCTGTCAGCTCTTCCCAACATTTCTCAAAGTAGGCCCGTGCGCCAGGCCCATGGGAACGACAGACCACAGGCTAGAAACAGCGGAGCCCGCCTGAGAGGAACCCCTGAACCCACTCCACCTGGGGCTAGGACTAGGGCGTAGCTGAGAAGGCAGAGGGAAAAGAGCTAAGACCATATGGGCACAGAGCCTGAGCTAAGGTCAGACATGGAGCCAGCCAGGCGCAAGGTGGGAGGATCCTGGAGGGGCTGGGACCCAATTCCAGAGGGTCAGTGGGAAGAGCCTGCCTGGTGTCTGTCTGAGGTGATGGAGGAGCTAACAGGGACCTGTGCGTGAACCAAATGAGACTTTGATTTCAGAATGACCAGGAGGTCAGCTCTGGGTAGTTGTTTCGATCTGAGGGAAAGCCAGAGAGGGCTTTGCTGGAGAGATGGTGGCGGCGTGGACAGAGCAGGACAGTCACGGGGTCTGCTCAGGAGGCAGATGGACACACTTGGGGGTGAGTGTGATGTGGGGAGACAGGAGCGTGGGATGATATCTTGTGAGCGAGCCAGCCCTCAGCCTGGGCTGGGCAGCCTGGCCCACAGACTGGGGCCGCGAGGGACAGTGACTGGCCACAGCCATCCTCGCCCCGCACAGTCCTCACGATGGTCTCACGCACAGGGCAGCCTCTTCCGGAAGCAGGCTGTGAGGATTCGGGGTGGACAGAACGATGGACAGGCAGGTGGGAGGGGAGGAGGGTGGAGTGCGGGTAGGGCTGGGGGGAGGAATGACAGGGGCAGGAGGGGAGGGAGGACACCAGGGCCAGACAGCCCGAAAACAGTCCTCTCTGTCTTCATAATGCCCTGCCCTTTTGTTTTAACTGAAAACATGGGAAACAAGTAAGGTCCCAAATGTTCTGTGAGTCTCCAAGTCTCCATCACCACTGAGTCAGGAGAGTGCTGAGTAACGGTAATTCTAGGTAATCCTATCTCCATCGAGCCTTTATCAAAATTGTCACTTCTTTCCCCCCCTCCGTCCTATAGGAAGAGAAACTCAGAGTAAATGCAGCTGTCCCAAGACTGAGAGACGAGGCTCAGAGCCAACCGGCCGTCAATGCGTCTATTGAAAACCTTTCTTCTTGCTCCTCTTCCTCTTACTCTTCTGCATCACAGATATTGCCAAATACTTACTCTGCCCGTTTTAAGCACTTTGGATGTACCAACCTGCTTATCACAGTTCTATCAGCTAAGGACAACTATCAGCCCTATTGTTTCCAGAAGAGGCAGTGAGGCCCAGAGCCAGGAGGCACCCTGATCAAGGGCCCAGGGCTCAGAGCCGTGGGCTAGGACATGTCTTCTCGGTGGGTCCCTGCGCCTGCGTCTCGGCCCTGGGGCCTCCCACCGGCTTCTCACCAGCCAGGGCCTCCGGCCTCGGGCAAGCCCCTCTCCATCCAACACACTCACTTCACACCCCCACAGCCCCCCGAGACTTACAGCTGCTCATCCAAAAAATGACCGGGGACGGGAGTCCAGGCGGGGGGTTGCACTGCAGTGTCAAGGGGGCGCCTTCTTGAACCACAACGGGGTCCAGGTTTTCCTTGGGCCACAGGGGAGATTCTGGGGAGAAACAGAGCAGGAGGAATGTGGGCGGTGGCTGGCGCCAGGGCGAGGAGCAGGCTAGAGGCATACACGCAAGGATGGAGGGAAGAGCAGGTGAAGGTGGCGGCGGAGTGGGGGTGAGGGGGGGGTGACAGGCGGGGGTCTAGGGTGGCCAGCCCACAGGAGGCGCGGGGGAGACAGGCTCTGTCTGGGAAGACGTGTCTTCGAGGCTCCTCTCCTCTCCTTCCCCTCCTCTGTGGCTGGCGGCTGGTGGGGCTGTTGGGGGTTTTGCGTTGGAAGCTTCCTTTCTCAGGACTCACTTTGAGTTGGGGGAGGCACACCCCAATCAGAGGCAGAGGTGCAAGCAGGACATGCAGGGCACCAACAGGCCGAGGGTGCCGCTGTGGCCCTCCCTCCACTCACCCAGGATTGGGGTGCTTCAGCCCCGCCCCCGATACTCACTGGACACCTGCAGGCGGATCCGATTGGACAGGGCGGTGCCGAATTTGTTGCGGGCGAAGCACTGGTACTCCCCCTCATACTCCTCCGGACGCCCCCCGCTGCGGAAGTCGATCACGAGGGTCCCAGACCGCCTCCTCATCGACACCCGCGGGTCCTTGGCAATGTTGAAGAACCTGCTGTTTCGAGTCCAGTGGAAGCTGTGGAAAACGGGGGGTGGGGGCACATGTTGCAGGGCAACAGAGAGACAGGATGGGCTCCAGGGGAGAACCTTGGGGCCCTAGTCTCTGTCTCAGCCTCATGCCCGCACCTCCAGCAGCTGGGATGCCTGGCAAAATGCAGGGTCCCAGGCCCCACCCAGGTGACCCTCCAGAACTGGCCCCTGACATTAGTATCTTCAGGCCCAGCCACAGCTCTAGGGGCCAGACCCCCAAGTAGCCTAGGGGGGCTGCGTTCTGTGAGGAGTCCGCGATTCTGACTTTTTTTAAATCCCAAGGGGCAAACCCTGCCTCTTTCCTGTGCTGACAGCCAGCCACGTGGGGCTTGGGGGTGTCTGGGTGTGAATACAAATCCAGCCTGAGGCTCTGGCCAGGGCTACCCATGGATGCTACTCATTTGACAGAAGCAAACCTGACCTCGGGTGTCAGAGGCCTGGGCAGGGGGGGCCTTGGTCAAGACATCGTCTCCTCATCTCCCTTCGGCAAGAGGGCAGGCACCCTTCCCCGAGGGCAGTGAGGTGGTGGGGCTAACTCATGCACGTGGCTTCCCATGCCTGTGGCATCACGTGACCTGAGATGCTCACGCATGCAGTCTGAGCTCAGGGTGGCGCCCACGATGCCTGGGAGGAGAAACTTCTGGAAGCTGAGCACGTCAGTAGCTGCAGGATGTGAGGTGGTGGGAAGCGCACTGCGCTGGAAGTCAAACACGCTCTGGCTCTTTATGCAAACTGAAGTCACCTTCGTTCCCTCATCAGCCGAGCTCCCTACACCTCTCTTCTGTCCCTTCACCTAGCGGTCCATTTGGAATGGACAGACCTGATTTCCAACTGCTTCAGGCACCACTGCTGGGGAGGTGCCCCCAGCCCGGAGGGCAGAGCCGAGCGGCCAGCTGAGGCCACAGGGCATGGACACGGGGCGGGGGGGGCAGTTTTGGGGGGGCAGGCGGGCCCTGGGGAACAGGGAGCCCTTTCCCTTCCGCAGCCTGCCTTGCTCCCTGGAGCTGCTGAGAGGAGACCCGTGGGGGGAGACAGGCAGAAACATTTGGAGAGACACGCAGGCGGGCAGGACACAGGGCGTGGCAGCCCTTGCGTGATGTGGTAGCTCCTTCATCCCAGGTTTCTGGGACCTGCTTCAGAGCCCCCCCCTTTTTTTAAGTCAGTATTCATTTTGTTTTGTTTTTTTTTCTCATCTTTTCTTTTTATTACAAAAGTTTATTTTTACATCATTTTGTACATTTTTTTTTCCATCTCGATTGTAATCCCCGCGGGTTTCCCATCACCAAATCACCTGTGTGCCATCACCATAATCCCGTGCATTTCTCAGAGCCCCTTTCGTATGGTTCCTGCCAGCAGGGGCCTTCGGCTGGTGCCCGCTTCAGGCTGACCCTGCTTGTCTGTGCATTTACCCATGAGGGACTCTGGGTGTTTGCTGGCCGAGTCTTTTGCCTTCTTCTCACCCATCTCTCTGTGCACTAACTCTATTAAACATCGGTCACATAAAGAGTCCGCTTGTCTTTGAGCACATGGATGGCGGATGCCCTCAGTGCACGTAAGTTTGGGGGGGTTCCCCTGCGTATCCCTCAATCACACGCGTGCTGCCTTCTTCAGGCACAGGAAAGGGGCTGCTGAAATGCCGCCCGTAGGCCCTTCCCTCCACTCAGCGTGGGCTGACCTGCTGGTGCACTCACCTGGGAGCGGGGTTCCCCTTTGCTTCACACTCAATCAGGATGTTGTCCCGGGGATCCACGATGTGGTCCTTCACAGACTGCTTGGTGATGGTCGGGGGCTGAGACACTGCGGTGGGGCACGGAGCGGGCAGTCAGGGCGCAGACGCCCCCCACCCCCCGCTTGGGCCCTGGCTGGGGAAACGCCTGAAATCACAAGCCTCAGGAGCCTCATGTACACGTTGGGAGGTTCTAAAGACTGTTCCAGAGATCCTGCTCCTTAAGCGGGGTTGCAGGATGGGGGTGCACGTCAAAGACTGAGGGGAGAAGGTGCACAGGGCGGGGGCTCTTGCCCATCCTTGTAGCCCAACATCCTTGGCACAACACCCAGTGCGTGACAGTGCTTGATAAAGATATGAGTAAAGGAACAAAAAGTAGCCAGGTTTTGAGAACTTGGGGGCCATGATCCATCTGAACCTTTGTGGGTCAACAGATGGCCCAACTGTGGAGGGGCTGGAGCTGCAGGAAGAAGCCCGCAGAGAAGACCGCAGGGACGTGTCTGCCCGCGAAGATGCGGGTCTCCTCGCTCCTGCTGGGCTCAGTGGACTTTCCGACACTCGCTCCAGCACCAGGGACTGGGGAGCAAGGCCCTTGCTACCCACCTGCCGCCTCCTTTCCCAGCAGTAGGATGCTGGGGTGAGGCTCTTCCCTTCCTTCTGGGAGAGGCCCCACGGCAGGGCTCAGGTGTCTAGAAGCCCAGCAGGCAGAGTGAAGAGGCAGCGAGCCCCAGGTACCTCCCCTGGCCTGGCGAGCCCCAGGTACCTCCCCTGGCCTCCCAGAGTCACATGCAGGGTACCCAGGACTTACACTCGCTCTGAATGCTGGCTGTGAGTCCCAGAGGTTAGCATTGGGGAGAAAAGGAGACACGGTTACCCCCCACTTCTCCTCCCCACCGTCCTCACGCCCAGCATGCACGGAGTGGGGTGAGCAGGCCGGGCGCCCCGGGCTCTCCCCGCAACTGTAGGTTCAGGGGACAGCCATGGCTGGGCCATAGCAGCACGCACTTCCTGGAGAGTCCAGCAGAGCCGCCAGCTTCTACCCAAATGAAGGTGTTGCAGGGGCACCCCGGTGTCCTCAGTGACAGAGCGGGGCTCTGCAGTCCTGCCTGACATGACTGGAAGCCACTGAGGGCGCAGGTCTGGCCAGTGGGGCCAGGTGAGCTGAGCGGTTGGGAAGGGGAGGGTTGCAAGCACACAGGTGAAGCCCAGGGCCTGGAGGCCTGAGTGCCCACCAGGTCATGTGTCTCTCACAGCAAAGCACCCCCTTTTCTCACTGTCTTCTAGGCCGGCCTCTGGACAACTCTAGGGACAGATGAATGACTGTCCCTTGCTCACTGCTCATGGTGGCCGTTGCTTGTCCTCTGGGATGAGCATCTGACAAAGGGATGGAGACTGGGAGCAGGTCCCCTGGCCCTCACCTGAGAGGGTGTGCCCAGTGCATACTCCAGCTCTGGGTTTCACGAGCTTCGGCAAGCCGGTGACCTGGGGTCTGACTCAGATGCAGGTTTTGGGTTCCCTGGTCTCGGGTCTGGGGCTCTGCATTTCTGACAAGCAGCCCAGTGATGCCAGTGCTGGTGGCCTGGGGGCACATTTTGGCTAGCAAGGTCTCGGATAAAAGTCGCAGGGAAGAGCACATATTGCCGTAACATCTAAGGCGTCTTTATGATAATGTCAGGCAGCGATGCGCCTCTCAGCTCGTGCTAGTGCGGACGTGAGATGCTGGGGAGGGCTGGGCATGGGGGGGCAGGGGGAGCGACAGTTGTCTTCAGGAGAAGCAGGGCCGACACTGGACCCTCCCCTGACCCTAGTCTCTGCTCCTGACCCAGCTGCTGCCTGGCAGGGGCTCTGGCCTCGCCCTGGCTGGGAAGCTGACAAAGGGGTGCTTTGTCACATGGGCTGTGAGCCCCTCTTTATAGAAGGGTATACAGGACAGTGACAGTTCTGAGGAAAGTACCCTAGCACTGTCCATGGAGCCCCCAGTTCCTGGAAGGGGAGTCACTCTATCAAGCCCACAGAGAAGCTTGTTGCAGAGCCAGGACAAGGCCCGAGGCCTGGTTTGGAGCATTTTATAGACCCAGCCTTGGCCGGAGGGGTGGGCTGGCCGGGCAGAGCCTCAGTTCTCTGTTCTCCCTCACATCTAGACAATGGAGGGTCGGGGTGCAGCTTGAGGTGGTGGGCTCACAGCAGCTGGAGCTGGCTGGTTACTAACCCCCAGCCCACACTGAAACTGGGCCAGATGTCTCTTGAGCGTCCACTTGCTATAGGTGAGTGACACCCGGGTCACCACGTGCCACCGAGGAATCCATTACGGGGACACAGGTGACCCAGGGATAAGCCACCATGGGGAGAAAGTGGGGACCACCAGTCTAGGACAAAGGTGACCTGCCCTGTCCTGTGAGCCCACATCACCCACCTGCCCTTCTCTCCTATGGAACAGGCTGGGTGAGGGCAAGTTGGGGGGCTGAGTCTATTTTCCTAGCTTGAGAGGGAGGAAGACCCCACCAGGCCGCTAGGCCTCTGCCCCGACCTCCCTCCTTGCTCTGACGCTATGACCGCATGTGCCCGGGAGGGTGCAACGTGTGTGTGTGTGTCTGGGGTGAAGCTGGGAAGAGCATTTCTCCCACCCACCCCACTCCCATCTAGGAGAAAAACGCCGAGTCCCCAGCGAAGGGAGGAGGCCGGCGGGACAAGCTGCCAGCAGAATCACTTCTGGCCAAACCACCCTGGTTGAGGACGCCACCCTTTGCTTCTATCAAAGGTCACGCTGTTCTCCAGGGCCGGGGTGGGTGGGGGTGCGGGTGACTCAGCGGGCAGGGCCCTGGGACCTGGAGGCCGGCACGTCTGTGGGGCCACAGGCAGCCCGGGACTCCCCGCCCTGTCCTCTGGGCACAGATGACACCCCCCTCCTGAGGGGCAAGTGAGTGAGGGGGCACTGGCAGAGAGGCCGGTGGCCAGCGCCACCTCTCAGCTGGCACATGGGGGCTGCAGGTCTCTCGCCTGCCTTTTGTGTCAATACAGCAGGACCCTGAGGGCTCTGTGCTAAGTGACACCAGTCAGCGGGGCAGATGCTGCACTTCTCACCCACAAGTGGAATCTGAGAGAAAGTCAAGCTCAAAGAAGTGGGAGAATGGGGGTTGTCCACGAATGGGGGGCTGCTGGCCCAAGGATACAGGGCACATCTGGAGGTGGGTGAGCAGTGGGGTGCCTGCGTGGCCCAACACACCCTCGAAGCTGCTAAGAGCAGGACGTAAACGTCACGGCCACACACAGATGGTGGTCACGCTAGGGGACGGAGGCCTGGCTGGCCTTCCCGTGGTGACCGTGTCACACACACGTGTCTGGCCACCGTGCTGTGGCCCCCGACTCACACGAGCTCCAGGTCAGGCGTCAGGGTGGGGATGGGCTGAGTGTCGGGGTGGTGTGGGTCTGCTGGGGTTGGGGGCAGGGCCCTGGCGAGGAGGGCCTCATCCCTGAAGGGCTGGCCACTGTCTCCTGTGCATGGGCTGGGTGAGCACAGTCCGAGGGGCGTCCAGAGGCAGCGCCCGGGGGCACCTGCTCCGCTCGGGGCAGCACAGTGACCGCTGAGGCTGGGCGCGCTCTGCCAGACGGGCCAGGGCAGTGGCTTTGTTTCTCTGCGCCTGCTTTCTACACTACCAGCAAAGGGCAGCGGTGACTTGATGGACCAGGCATGAGCACATGTGATTCCAGTGAGTTCCAAGAAGAGCAGTGAGGCAGGAAGAGCAGGTAGGGATGGGGCACGCTGAGTGCCAAAGCATTGGGGGTGAGGGGGTGGCGGGAGACTGAGGTTCATCTGTGACTACCATCCATGGCTGTATGACGTGGCTTCTATAACACACCACCATGGGCAGGGCGCCCTGCAGGCCCCCTCGGACGCTGGCGGCTCCAGGTTCTCCCTGCCCCTAGGCTGTACTTCAGGCAGAGTGGCTTGGGGTTACCCGCCTGGGATCCCGCTAGGGCTGCAGAAATCCAGCAACACACCATCTATTTCTAGGTTCCCCTCGCAGGAGCCCCTCACCCATTGGCCCCGGGGATCAAAGTGGCAGGGGAGCGAGCGAGAAGAGGCTGCAGAAGAGAAATGAGCCTTCACCACTTTCTTGATAACCCAATTTCCTCTGCACCCCCTGTCCCCCCAGGGACGTGGCCTGATCATGCTCCTTATTAGACTGTCTGCCTGGGGCTGTTAATGAGAAGCTCCTTGAGCCAGCACTACAGCTGGTCTCCATGGGAACAGCGCCTTTCACAACTCCCCTCCCCGCCCCCTGCACGCATGCAGAGGCTGCAGGGAGCCCCGCCCACCGTGCTCCTGCCTCCTGTGGTCACTATTGGCTTTCTCTCACCTGGCACTGCCCGCTTCTCTGGGCAGCGGTCACTGGTGAAGTGGGCGTGGGACTGAGACCCCCACTGCTCTCCCTGGGGAGGGGGCGGTTCTGGTAGTTCCAGGCTGGGGTGTGGCTGGGGAGGGCCAGCAGGGTTTCCCGGAAGCTGTGCCTCTCTCCCGCCCTTCCCTGTCACCTGGACAGAGCCCCAGGCCACGCTGGCATCATGGGGTCCCCTCTATTCCTGGAAGTGAGAACAGGCACAGGGATGCCATGATGTCTTGGCCCCAGTGCCAGACCGTGGCAAAGGCGGACGCTCCTAACCCAAGGCCAGGAGCTGGCATGTGTGGGTGGCAGCGGCCGACCCAGATGCCCACTGTGAAAACAGAACATGGGCTTTTAAGCTCTAGAGGGAAGCAGCAAGAAAGAGGACTCGTGCCCGGTCTCCCACAGTGTTGCTGCCAGGGGCTCTGCTCTCATGTCCTTTTATCCCAGAGTCTAACCATCCCTTCCCCCACCTGCCCCAGGCCGTCCATCCTCCTGGTCACTGCAGCCAGGAGGGTCTGCGGGGTCCAGCCCTGGAGACGTCAGGCACGAGGTGACCATGTAAGATGTGTCCACCACACTTGGGCTCTGGACAGCCTGCACCGCAGCCACAGTCCCCAGGGACCAGCGCTGTGACTTGCTCCCAACTCCCGCCGGCAGCAATGTCCCAGAGGGACACTCACTCTGAACTCCACTCGTCCCCTCTCCCCAGCACCTTGCATGGTTTAGTCTCCCCTGACCACCCGGACCCGCCGACTCCCGCCCCAGTTCCAGAGGCTGGAGGACAGAGCAGCACTCACGATCCATGGGGATCTCGATGGCTCCGCCGAGGCTGACGAGGCAGAGCAGGAGGGCTGCGTGGGCCCGGGGCGGCGGCGGCTGGGCCATCCTCAGCACCCGGCCCTGCTCCCTGCGCCCCGGCCCACGGGGTCTGGTCGCCTCCCGCCGCTCTCCCTGGGCGCTCCGGGCAGAGCTCAGCTGCGGAAGGAAACACAGGGGTAAGTGAATCTTCTTTCAAACTGGGGTCTGTGCCGACCTCGAGGATGGAGGGTCCCCCGGTCACAGACCAAAGTTCTGAAATATGATTTCCTTCTTTTTTTTTTTAAAGATTTATTTATTTATGCATGCAAGAACAGGGGTACAGGCCAGAAGTATAGGCGGTGAGAGGTTTTACCAGAGACAGAGTGGGGAGCAGAACAGGCAGGTCTACTGAAATGCACTGCTGAGGGGAGCAGCGGGCGGGTCAGGAGAGGTCTGCTGCGCCATGTGGGTCAGCTCCTTGGCGGGGGCTGGAACCCGTGCTGCAGCGGCTGCAGACAGCTTCATAGTGCTGCGCTTTAACGCGTGGCAAGCACCGCCAGGGAGGGTTCTGAAACACGATTTCTTAATCTTACAAACTGACACTTGGAATCCAACTGTCCCTGAAAGGGGGGGCTCTGTGAGGGTGGCTGGGGGAGATGGGGGCACCCCCCTCAGAACATGAGATGCCAGGAAAGCCTGCTCCTGCCCCCCAACCTTTTCGTGTTGCTAGACACAGAGGGCAGGTGCGCCCCTAGTCGACCAGTGCTGCTTGCAAGGAAGGACCGCAGAGCAGAACCTGAGCATAGAAACAGGCCGGCAGGGACACTCCAGCCTCGAGCCGCATGGGCTGGGGCTCAGGACGAGGGGGCTTCCAGGGCTTGGCAGCTCAGTCGGCTCAGGCTCACATCCCCACCACAATCAATCATTCCCGGGCTTAGAATGGGCGGGTCGGAGAGGGCGGGGAAGGGCCCTGCAGGGACACACCTCTTTCCCTCCTCCAGCCAGAGTGGCCTACAGGAGTGGCCTACAGCTGATGCTCAGATGCAGGGTTTTAGGCTTGACACACTCATGGAGTCAGTCCAGTCTGCGGCTCTACCACGGGCCAAGTCATAGGGGGGCAGCGGAGGCGACTTCCAGGGTCCCCCGCACCCACGCCCGGCCCGCGCATCCCGAGGCTGAGCAGACACGAGCAGGGAGGGCCCAGCCTCGCTCCGGGGCGGCGAGGCTGGTGGAGCCAGCGGTGGGGTCACCGCGTGCCCCGTGCGGGCCACCCGGAAAGGTTCTGGTTCAGGTTTCAGCAGTTCCTCTGCGGGACCTGAGTCCAGCACCCGCCCGCAACCTCTCCTGCCTCTACTCACTGCGTCCACCTTGGTCGTGGCCACCACGGTCCCCTCCCCCTTACAGCAGCAGGTCCTAGGTGGTACCCCCGTCGTCTCTTACCTCCGATTCTCACTTTCCACTTGGAGTTGTTGCGTTGAAGTGCAAATATAAACACACCATGTCCCTCGCCAGCAGGCGCACCAGGGGTCAGTTCAAGCCCGGTCTCTCTTGCAGCAGCCCCTCTGCCGCCTGGTCCTCACACGCACCCCCCACAACCCCCCTGTCCGGCCGGGTCTGCCACCAGGGTCTGCTCTGAGTGCCCCTGAGTGGGCAGCCAGAGTCCTGCCCACAGCTCTATGACTCTGCCCTCTCTCTTTAGGATTTACCAACTTCCACGTCCCTTACATGTCCCTTGTCTCTCCTGAATGCCATTTACTGCCCCATCTCAGCACTTTTTACTTTATATTTATTCCAAATTCCTCTTGATTGATTCCCTGATAAAAGTGAACTTTCCTCTCTACAAAGGGATTTTTCCCCATTTTATTTGTCCCTATAATTGAAAACCTAGTAGGCACTCAAAAGTATGTGATGTAGGGCCCTCCCTGGTAGCGCAGCGGGTTAAAGCACAGCACTGAGAATCTAAAAGCCACTTCCGCATGAGTTCGATTCCCGCCTGCCCCGGAGGTGACCACATGGTGCGGCAGACCTCTCCTGACCCGCCTGCTGCTCCCCTCAGCAGTGTACTGCGTAGATCTGCCTGTTCTGCTCCCCGCTCTGTCTCTGGTGAATCCTCTCACTCTCCGCATCTCTGGCCTGTACCCCAGTTCTGTACGAATAAATAAATAAATAAGTACGTGATGTGTGCATGAAAAACGAACAAACATATGAATGACAAACACCTTGGCTTGTTTTAAGAACCTGGCATTTCCCCCATGAACCACCAGGCGGCGCAGGAGAGCGCACACTTAGGGCCGCGCAGCTACCAACTAGGGGAGCAGGGAAACCCCTCCCAGTGCAGGCTCTGCTCTGCATTCCGGCCAGGAGATCATCAGCTGGAAGAGGAGCACAAAATCTCCAGAAGGGAGCCCCTGACTAGAAGCATCAAGGGGTCTCTGGATGCTCCTTTTTTTTTTTTTTTAAGGATTTATTTACAGGGTATAGACCAGAGATGCGGAGGGTGAGAGGATTCACCAGGGACAGAGTGGGGTGCAGAACGAAGTACACTGCTGAGGGGAGCAGCGGGCGGGTCAGGAGAGGTCTGCCGAGCCATGTGGATCTCCTCGGGGGCAGGCAGGGATCGAACTCATGCAAAAGTGGCTTAAGCTTCTTAGTGCTGTGCTTTAACCCGCTGCGCCACCAGGGAGGGCCTGGATGCTCCTTCTTACACTGTCTCAGAAAGGGCCTGTCAAAGCCTCCCTGGGGTACCTGTGTTCCAGGCTCAGGCTCATTTAAGTAGAAGTGGCTTTAGCTTCTTAGTGCTGTGCTTTGACCCACTAAGAAACTAAAGCCACTTCTGCATGAGTTCGAACCCTGCCCTGGAGATGACCCACATAGTACAGCAGACCTCTCCTGACCCGCCCGCTGCTCCCTTTAGCAGTGTACTTCATTAGTCAGCCTGTTCTGCTCCCTGCTCTGTCTCTGGATCGATCCTCTCACCGCCCCTGGCCTGTACCCCAGTTCAGTATGCATATATAAATAAATCTTTAAAAAAAAAAAGAGGAAGTGAATTCAAAAATCATTAGATTGTTTCCAATCCCTCTACCTTTCAAATGGGAAAAAAATAAAAACCAGAAAGAGGGAGCGACTTGTTGAAGGTCACCCAGTAAAGGAGCCCAGCACCTCCCACCCAACTCCCGTCTCTGCATGTGAGAATGGCGGGGGGAAAGCTGCAATTTAAAATAGTAACGTGGACAGTTCGGCAGTTTCTAAACTAACTGAACACAGATTTAGCATATGACCCTGGGTATAATTTCCAGGAGTAGAAACAAGTCCACATGTTCAGAACAGCCTCATTCACAACAGCCCAGGTGGAAAACGCCAATACTGGTATCAGGAAATGAGGAAAGCGAATCACGGCGCTCGAGTGTAGATACGGGTATACACGCACCCTCACTGTGGGATACTGCTCAGGAAAAGGGATGCCGCTGGCACGTGTCACGGCGTGGACAGGCCCCACACACGCTCAGGGAGGGAGGCCAGGTGCAGAAGGCCACGAAGACCCCAGACAGGCAAGTCACAGATCCAGGCACAGACTGGAGGTGTCCAAAGCAGCAGGGCGCGGTGGGTGGGGGGCAGCGTAATGGGTGCAGGGTTTCCTCTGAGGACGACCACTGTGTCTGGAAGTAGGCGAGGAGGTGAGTGCACGCACGGGAATGCAGGAAGCCATGGAGTGTTCACCCTAAAATGGGTAATTTCATGTGCTAAATTAGCTCAGTAATGGTGTGCGCAGTGTGGATGGTCCCAGTGAATGTGCTTCTGAGGGTGGAGCCGGTACAGGGCGCCCTTCCCAGTGGGTCCCTCAGCCTGGAAGGCCCCAGACAGGGCTTCCTGCCAAGAGCACTTCCATCCACAGTAAAAGAAGGGGCATGAAATGGGTTTGGAGTTTGGGGTTTCAGAGAGCCCCATACACAGCGTGAGGCAGAGACACCTGCCTGGGTGGCCCCCATCCAGATAACCAGGGAGAAAAGGGGAGAGTGGGGCTTCTCACCTGACCTAGTCTCCCTCCTGCACCGTGAGCCCAGCACATGGCTCCCGGGTTCCTTTCCTGGTAACAGGAGGTGTCAGCACTGGGGAGAGGTGCCCAGCTAGATGGGGTGGACTCTGGGAATGGAATGCCATCCACCTGTGCAGCAAAGGAAACCCCATGTCCTGCAAGAGGGGCCGTGACGACTGTCTCTGGATCTTGGAAAGAAGAGGCCCAATTTTTCTGTTTGGCTCCACGGGGTAAAACTAGGACCAAACAGGAGGTATTTCCCGAAAGGCAGGTGCTTCTCTGATACAGGAAGAACTATGGACTGAACACAACCTCCTGCACAACACCCCCACCACAGTGCGAGTGTGACGTGTGTGAGGGACACTGTCATGTGGAGCTTCCCAGGCCCGAGGTAGACTACCCCAGGGGGAGTGAGGAGAACAATCAGGAGAGGTCGCCTGCAGACTGATGGTGACCTGGGAGCATGACCCATTCAGTGTTTGTGTATCCGACACCCCTTGATCTCTGAACCCCCAAGCTTCTGGAGAGGGGTGAAATCAGGTCTGCAGAATGAAAACTTATTTTTGAATTTGAATGCTGTTAAAAGCTGTTCTCTTGCATGGGATGCTTCCCAAGCTTAGGGCACCCTCGGGATCTAAGACCTCCAAATGTGCAGGCCTGGGAGGCTCGAACATCCGTGACGGCAAACGTGTGTGTCTGGTGACGAGCCGCCCAGCGGGGACAGGAGTCCAGGAGCACAAGGCTGCCCGAGTTCAGTCATCTCCGTGCTCCACCGGGGCTCTCGGGCCAACACTGAACCTCGGTGCTTTGCATTTCTCATGTGAAAAAAAATGGGGTGGTATCACCTCTTCCAGAGGGTGGTTGTGACGCTGAACATACAACTCCCATAGAGAACACCGAGGACCCCCGCCTCTTCTTCCCTTGCGGGATGTCTCTGATTTATAGTTGCCTGCTAGTTCTGTTTATTCTTACTGTTATTTTTTCCTGATCCCGTATTTGGAGATCTTTTTCTTTTTCCTTCTGGCTTATTTCTCTGACCACTGCATAATCCCTTCCAGCTCCATCCATCAGAGGTGCTGGAGGCGAGAGGATTCTCCAGAGACAGAGCGAGGCAGGGGCGGGAAGAGCAACCAGGGACTATAGT